TGCGCCACCATGCCCGGCTAATTTTTTCTATATATTTTTAGTAGGCCAATTAATTTCTTTCTATTTTTTAGTAGAGACAGGGTCTTGCTCTTGCTCAGGCTGGTTTTGAACTCCTGACCTTGAGTGATCTTCCCGCCTCGGCCTGCCAGACTGCTAGGATTACAGATGTGAGCCACCGCGCCCGGCTGATGTATTTTAATAGATTTTATTTCCTATGCATAGTGTTCTTACGTAGTTATATTTACTCACAGACATGATTTTGGCTTTTTATACCTAAAAGTATATAGCGAGCATTTTCCCATGTTCTGGCATGTTTTCTGTAAATGTTATTTATAAAGGTTGCATAATATGGGATCTTGTATGAATGCTGTCATTTACTTAAGTATTCCTCTACAGGCAGATATATAAGATGCTTCCAATATTTGCTGTTATAAATAAACCGTGAGAAATGTTTTTTCTCTATAACAATTTTTCCATATTTAAAGTTATTTCCTTAGGGCAGAGTACCAGAATTGATTTGTATGCTTAAATATATTATGACTTTTTGCTTTCCAAAAAGTTTATGCCAGCCCGGGCATGGTGGCTCACGTCTGTAATCCTAGCACTCTGGGAGGCTGAGGCGGGCGGATTGCTCGAGGTCAGGAGTTCGAAACCAGCCTGAGCGAGACCCCGTCTCTATTATAAATAGAAAGAAATTAATTGACCAACTAAAAATATATATACCCAAAAATATTAGCTGGGCATGGTGGCCCATGCTTGTAGTCCCAGCTACTAGGTAGGCTGAGGCAGGAGGATTGCTTGAGCCCAGGAGTTTGAGGTTGCTGTGAGCTAGGCTGACACCATGGTACTCACTCTAGCCCAGGCAATAAAGTGAGACTCTGTCTCAAAAAAAAAAAAAAGTTTATGTCAATTTGTACTCCTATTAGCCAAATAACATAGTGCCTCTTTTACTAAACATTGATTAGAAGTGCATAGCATCATTATTTTTACTCCTTATTAATTTGGTATGCAAAATGTATATTATTGTAATAATTTGCACTCAATTTCCTGTGAAGTAAAACATTTTTCCATATATTTGCTGATTAGATGTATTCTTTCTCTTCTTTTTTTTTTTTTGAGACAGAGTCTTTACGAAATTAATTGGCCAAGTAATTATATTATATATATATGTATATAATGACAATAAGAAAAAATTAGCCGGGCATGTAGATGCAGGCCTGTAGTCCCAGCTACTTGGGAGGCTGAGGCAGGAGGATCGCTGAGCCCAGGAGTTTGAGGTTGCTGTGAGCA